TTACTCAGTTGTATTCTATAGTGTGATTTGCAGTTTGTTCATTCACCTTTTGATGGATAATTGGGTTTCCAGATTGGGCTATTACAAATAATGCTAATGTGAACATTTGCTCATGAGGAAATATGCTTTCTTTTTTCTTGGATATATATACCTAGTAGAAGAATGCCTGAATCATGTGACAGGCATATATTTGACTTTTTAAAAAACTGTTTGCAAAGCAGTTCTACCATTGTTTATTTCTATCAGCAGTATATAAAAATTTTAGTTGCTATATACTTTCACAAACAGTTTGCATGGTCAGCCTTTTGTATTTAGTCATTCTAGCCATTATGTAATGATATCTCCTTGTGTTTTAATTTGCAATTCCTTAGTGACTGATGCTGAACATCTTTTTGTGTGATTATTTACCATCTTTATGTCTTTTGGTGAAATGTCTGTTCAGATATTTTGTTTATTTCATATTTGAGTTATTTTCTTATTATAAAGCCTGTGTCCTTTTTATATTCTGTGACTCTTTGTCATATATCTATTTTGTTGATATTTTTTCCCAGTCTGGTGCTTGCTGTTTCATTTTCATTTCTTTCTTTCTTTTTCTTTTTTATTTGGTGGTGCTGGGGATTGAACCCAGGACCTCATGCATGTGAGGCAGGTACTCTACCAGCTGAGCTATAGCTCCAGCTCTTCATTTTCATTTTTTCAATATAACCATTTATTAATGATAATGTTCAACCAGGTGGTGGTGCATGCCTATAATGCCAACTTGGCTGAGGCTGGAGGATAGCAATGCAGAAAGCCTGGGCAAACTGGCAGGATCCCATCTCAAAATAAAAAGGGTTGGGGCGTAGCTCAGATAGTTTGCCTAGCCTATGGGAGGCACTGGATTCAATCCCTAGGACTTGCCACCAATAAATAAATAGTTGGACATAATGGAGTAATAAAGTGCTCCTGGGTTTGATCTGGCAATTAACGTTCAGATTGGGGGGGGCGGTGGCTTGGTGGCTGAGACCATACATGAGGCCCGAGGCTTCATCCCTAGCACCACACACAAGAGTTTGTCTAGAGAGAGATTACTGGATTGATAACACCCCTGTAATCACGTGAACTTCGGAGGCCAAGGCAGGATTCCAAGGCCAGTCTCAGCAACTCAGTGAGAAACTGTCCCCAAATAAAAAGGACTGGGGGATGTGGTTCAGTGGCAGAGCACCCCTGGGTTCAATATCTAGTAAATGCACTGCCCCCCCTCCAAAAAAAAAAGTAGACTGAAGGGTCTGGGGAGTGGCTCAGAGGCTAACTTCTAGCTTAACAACTCTTAAGGTTCAATTCCATCAGCATTAAAAAACTTCAACTAGAGGGAGATGAATTTGACTTGCGTGTTTACCTCTATGTTTAACAGCACTTCTTTCTCTGCAGAGAACTCCTCAAACACTGAGCCATTTTCAGATGCAGATCTTGGCAATGGCTAAGCTCCTGCAGGTTCCCACATTCCCAGTCCCCTTTGAGAACCTAGTGGTAACAGGGATTGCAGACCCATGGGAGCCCAGAGAACATCTGAAGTTTGTAGAAAACCTGGAGTTCCCTTTGTCCGTAGAATTGGAAATTTCCCAAATTGAAACACTAAAGTAAAAAAACATTGGCTATTAGAAATTAAGAATATGAAGAGAATAGGCTAGGAGCTAGGTGTCACATCGGGGTACCCAGTAAAAATGCCCTCTAGAGGAAACCGAGTCCCTTTCTAACCCCCCCAGCCTCTGTCCTTTTTAAGTGTGGGCAGCAGTTTGGTCTGTGAGACCAGGATTTTCTCTACCCATACCCCTGTCCTTTCTCATTCAACATAAGCTGATCTTATTTTGAATTTAAGAATCATCTTATTTTTGTGGGGGCAGGGAGACTGGAATTTTCTTAGGGCTGGACAGCAGTGTAGAAGTTGAAGAAATCCAGAAGCGTTGATGTTGTAGGTCAAAGGCAAACAGGCTCCCAGGACGCCGTCTCAATCAGTGCTTTTCATTTCTTAAGAGTGCTTTTTTTCTTTTTTTTTTTTTTAGCAAAAGTATAATCAAGTCTAATTTATCAAATTTATGGTTCTGACTTAAGACATATTTGCATATACCACAGTCTCCTCTGTTTTCTTCTACAAGAAATGTAAGCTCCCAAACTGTAAACCTTCTAGAAGAAAACAGAGGAGACGTTGGCATATGCAAATTTGCCTTAAATCAGATCCACAAATCCAATAAATTTAAGACAATTGAGAGGTGAGGACAGGGATAGAAGCCTGATACGGAGCAGAAACTGATTATAAACTTCATTGAACTAAAAATTGTGGTACGTCTTTGGATTTATTTTTGTAATTCCCTGAAAGAGTAGATGCCAGGAATTCAGGCTGGCCTGGGAAGGAGGGGTGCATGCTTGATCCTGTTTAGTGTTGTTGAGTTGAAATAAAGTGGTGATAAGTGGTCTTGGTGGCAAGACGAAGGTTTGCAGTTCAGGAGAAAAGTCAGCATTAGAAATATAGATTAAGCAAGTGTTCAGGATATAGGAGCCTTCCCATCAGGGAAGGATAGGTAAAATCTTGAGCTGGAAATGAACACAGCTGGACCCCAGGAACACTCACATTAGGGCATTTGAAGAACCATGTGGATGAGCCAGGGGAGGAGGCTGTGACGAGATGGTGGGGAGAACACCAGCACCACCTCAGTGGGACCCTTCCGATTCCTTCTTAGGCTGTCAGCCTTTTGCACTCCCAGCTCCTAGGACAGTGGCTAGGATTGGTGTGTTCAACAAGCTTTTGTTGATTGAATGCAATCAAAGAGAGATTTTTCTAGAAGCCCAGGATCATTAGTCTCCAGTCTTGAAGCAAGGCTGGAAGGAATGTGGGAAGTTTTCATTGAAAAAAAGGGTTTCAAGTTTGAGAATAAGGAAATTAGCCATGACTTTATAATATGCAGTTTACAAACTTATCCCCTCACATTCAGATGGTGGGAACCTGTAAAATGCAGAAGGTAAAAATTTGCTGGGATAGTGTGAAGATTCAGCAGTTAGTTAAATACCTGGCTCAGTCTCTGGTACAGAGTAAAATGCTCATTCATTAATTCATTCAACTCATATTCGTTGAGTATT